AGCAGCATAGTCTTCCTAGTCTTTTACGACGAGGGTACACTGCATTCCGACAAATACCGCTCAGAGAGCTTATCCAGAGTTCTGGCGACAACAGCAGGAAGACTCCTCAGATATTCTGGTTTGCTTCCATCGGGACCGGAAACCGCACAATGCGTAATCAACGTGATGGCATGTCGAATCTAGGTAGGAATGGTGAAGGGACGACATATCCATGTTGCCTAATTGTAAGACGGAAGGTGGGCATATAGAGTTGGCGGTCGAAGAGATTCGAGTAGGGGTCGGTCGTAGACGACCTCCTCCGTTGCCTTTGAGATACACCTCCTGTTCCGTCAGGGCGATGAAGGGTAGTAATCTTGTTCTTTGAATTAGCGGAGCTCCGGGGGGCTATAGGAATGACCGTATGAGCCTGGGCGTCTTCGGCCAAACTGCTTCTCTTCCCTCCGTAAGATCTTCCTTCACTCCTTCCCTGCATGGTTTCGCAAGTTTGGACGTCAGCTGATAATTGCCTTTAGCTCGCGTAATTCCACGCTAGCGTATCAGCCCAAGAGACTTCGATGAGAAACGTCCTCTGGCTTGTTGTAGACCCTTCGCTTTCCTAGCGCTATCGTGAAGATGTTCGAGGAGCCTTTATAGTCCTCATTCCATTCCTGTAAGCTCGCAAGGGGAGCGAAGTGATCTCAGCTGATGACAATCTTGGAGCTTCATTTACTGCTGTGAGCTTGATGGTCCACAGACAAAGAAGACTGTTAGACCTGAGGTTGGGGCACATCTTCCCAGTTGCAAACGTCCGATTTGGATTGTCGAGCTTCGTACGAATCGATGCGATTCGGCGAAGACACCTACACCGCCGACGCCTCTGTTGTCGCATGTTGCAGTGACCGATCTTCTCCAGTCTCCAAAGAGGCGTGCAGGACAGAATGCCTTCATGATCGTACTTAATCTTTTGGCGTGCACCATCATACCTGCGATACAAACTTCCGATGCGAGCGTTCGTGCTAATACAGATCGTTATCATAGACGAACCCTTTTGGATAGCCTGAAACTAACCTATGGCCTGAAACTTTCGCCCATCCACTGAAGGAGTTCCACCAAAAGGCAAAGGACTTGTCAAAGGACACCTTTGGGTTCAGGGGAAAGAGGCCCATTTATATTACTTTTTTGGCATATGAATATCCACATGCAGCTTGCCAGGCTCTAACACATGGGGGATACACACTTGCAGAAGGATTGATCGATGTGAATCCACGCTGCACATTAGAAGCAGTCTTATGAAACTACCTGCGTCTCTGGACGAAAACCGGGGCTTATCGTCCGCGATATACTCACCTCACCGAACGGTCAGTGATCCTTCAATAAGGGAGGACCTTCAGTGAAGGAGATCCGTGGGCGTCTACTTATTAACCATGATAAATTTTTGACATTAGACGCACAAAAACCGAGCAACTCACAATCGGTCGCGGTGGCTTGAAATAGCGCGCTCCAGCGCTAATATACCGGCGTAGCCCCGTGCGTGTAGGCGATGTACCACTACGATGTTTGAGATCTTTAGCAACATCACAGCTGGAGTTTCCAACAAAACGTCACTCCGTGTTACGAAGATGAGGCTTGCGCTTATGCGCACGATGACCTGTCGTCTCGAGAAATCCGATGAGTGGCTTGAAGGGCGGTCAACGTCAGCGTAGAAGAAATAGCCGCTGTTGACGTCATGACGAGGATAACGGTGGCAAGAGAGCATGAAGCAAGATTTCGTTATTTTTAAGCTTTTAGCCACCCCCTCCTTACTAAGTAACTTCCCTTTCTCATCGTGAGGCTGTCTAATGCGTTTAGCTTGATCCCAGCTGCAGCTGGAGTTCAGTGATGCTGCCGGCTCACATCACTGACCTCCTCTTGGAGCAAGATAACAAAAGGATAAATGGCTCAAGATGAAAACACAGAAACTCCAAAATGCACGTTTCCTACGAGACGGATTTCAATGATGTGATTTTGGGGAAAAGGGCGGATGGCGAGAAGTTCCATCGTGAACTTACGATCGAATTTCTCTGTATGTGGAGCCAACAACTGCTTAACAGAACAGATGAAATGTGATAAATTTGATGCAGAGCCCTGAAGGAAAGTGAGGAAAGACGCATCCACGAGTACGTTGAACTCATGGGGTTCAAAACTGACTCACTGGATGACAATCGAAGGATGTGGACAAGTTCGCGATTCAGATATAGTACATTAGGATTAAAGGACTATGAGGATAATTAAAGCCGTCTGACGAATGTGCCCCGCATTCGACTTCCATTCAGAATCGTAGTGGCGTATTGAATGCGAATGTAGCCTATACAATGATTTGCGGTGGCCAGCCGAAGTACAAGTCGGTGCTTTCATCCTCCCAGATGATTCTAGTACCAGTTATAGACTCCAAAGGGATGAAGGCTTTGTTAGCCTAGGCTTGATATCGATCCACGATTCGAACCCGTGACCATACGCGTGAGATATAGTGCCACTTGCCGCTACACCACCGTGAGATAGTCAATTAGAGATAATCAGACGTTCTCACTCTCACCAATCAGAGGCGAAGCTGAATGAAGAAATGCCCATACCAGAAAGTCTCTTATGATCCCAAATTGAAGTGCAGCGAGCTCGTAAGCTTCCTTTCGTGCTCCTAAGGCAGTCATTTACTTATGGGCGAACTTCATATTTCTATGAAACGGGGTTTCCGCAAAATCAATACCACGACTATAAACTGTACAAGGTTGTTTTATGAAGTACTAAATCATCGAGTCTTCCAGCATCATCAATTTACGCTGTCGTGACCTGTTCTATTTCCAAGAGGAAGAACTAGGTAGGGACGCTCATATAGTGCGAATAATCACGCCAAAATCCAGGCGCTACTAAGACCCCCATTCTGAGAAGAAAGAAGTGATAGTGCTATCCGGCTAAGAGCCCACTTTGCTTCCCAAATATCACAAACGATACCATAGTCATAAGGGAAACCCGACTTACCCCTCCCTCCCACGACGAATAGCCACGTCCCTCCGAAGCATCCCATCCCCCAGCGTCGACCCTCGACCCCCCACATCGCCTCGCGGCCCTCCACGCCCAGCTGTACCGGGCGACTCGTCAGCCGCGACGTGACCGCATCGCAGCGAGAGACTCCCGTCCGCCTTCGCGGCAACCCAGCAACCACTCGCACACTGTGTTTAGCGGGCAGCCAAGCCGTGAGCAGCGTTGAGCGAACGCGGAGGAGACCGAGAAAAGCCTTGGCAAGTTGACAGCGATCGATACCCGAATTTTCGCTCTGCATTCTAGTCGATATTCGGGTTCACGACCCGTTCATGGGTTCCCGGTCCCGTCCACGGTTGTTTGCTTCGCAGGACTTTTCTTCCTTCTTCAGCAGTAAACTTTCTTGTTTTTCGCTATGTGTGTTAGTGCTCTTCTGCAGAGTAAAGAAGGCTTTTCACGTAGTTTCACATATAACTGTAGGGGTTGAATGAAGTGTGATTGATTACACTTTAATGTCAATGCACTAACATGAAAGAGTTCCAAGCTCTTTACCGCACAAAGCAGTCGTTAAAAACAGTCCTACTCGAACAGTATCCTTGAATTCGCTACGATGCTGCTTTTTACCGCATTTTCTTGACTTGATGCTGTGGACCATTTTTATTGAACTAGCTTGTTCTGGACGTTATTTTTGTAGGTCGTCGTAGTTCAGTTAGAATACTCTCAGTGGCTTATTTTCGCAGTTTGGTATGCTTCTTTACTGAACTTTGACTCTCTGAGCTCTTCCTTCAGCGTTTACCTATTTTACTTTACTTTTGATTTTGCGTTATACTCTACTTTAAGTGACGAATTCTAATGTGAGTGTTTTTAGTTTATGAATGCAATGTCGACGATTTGAACATCCATCCTAATAAACAAGGTTTTCGTAGTAATGCTATTTTTCTGTAAGAATTTTTTTAATTCGGTTGAATTACCTGACAGTGCTCAGCATTGGCATAGTACCATCGGTTCCCCGTTCTCCTCCTAAAGATATTATCCGTTGCTAATGGCTGAATTCAGGTAGCCAATCAAATGTTTTCGTTTTTATGTTACATCTTAAGCTCGTCTTTATGCGAAGCCCTTCCTGCTTGTATATAATTTTTTTATAGTTGGCTTCTTCGGTAGCAAAAGTTTTTCCGACTTTTAAGTTTTTTGTACTTGAAAAACGCTACATTTTCGAATCATATCCCTCATCGAATAAGGAAAAGGTGAAAAAATTACGCGAGGCTTCATTCGAGTATGGATAAACTTTAAAAAAAGATCCCTCTTTTGGTATGTGAACGTAAATGACGTGTGAGGATGTCGCTATATTAATTTGGTTTGTATATTTGTAAATCTCTTGATTTGTATATCTATCTCCCTGCAGTCAGCATTTATGGTAGGGGTGCCCTGTGGGATATTCCTGATTAGATGGTATGGCCTTACAACATACAAGACCTTCGCACCACACTCGGTCTTCCAGCCATTCTGCAATATTGCAATGATCTGTATGAATCCATTACTAGACGGATCCAGCTTAAATCGACGCCGAAAATTAGAGTAGCTTAGTAAGGGCAGATCCCTGTGCATCTGTAATGATTACCCTTCTCTGGCCAATGACTAGATGATAAAGTTTTTTCTCTCTGCAAAAAAGTAGATTTAACTGCGTGTTGACATCGGGAACATCACGTAGTGAATGACTCGGTGGAAGTTTTCCCACAGTGTTCTTCCTTGCTCAGCCAAAGTTATACACTCCTTATACATAGAATTTGTCGTGAATCGCTCCTTTGCCATGATTCGAACAAGATGTTTGTTTAGGCAGCGCTCGTAACATTTTGTTTTATCTTGGTATCATGAATGGAGAGCCGAGAACTGTTTTACATGCCGTTTTCTTCAAAGCATTGTTAAATTGCTGTGTTTATAGAAGTTTTAAGATTACAACACTAACAGGACAAGAAAGAATAATCTACATGATGGGCTGCTAACTATTGGTTATGAACGGAGATCACTCTCTAATCGTATCATCCAAGCAGCAAAAGTCATTACGTCTCGACGCTTTTGCAACCAAACTAGCGTTAGTTTATTAGTTTTCAATGTGATCTGTTCTGCTGGAACTTTCCAGCGACTTACAGTTGTAGGGTTCGTTCGAACGAGATCTTTCAGAGAGGACAATCCTGCCAAGATATCGGCGAATGGTTACGTTGATAATAGCCTCGAAAACGGCACCGTCAAAATGTTGGAGGCGAAAATAGAAACTCGAATGGTGAGCTAAATCTTGTATCACGAATTGTTTTCACTACGTTGAAACGCTAGTTACTTCTGAAGAGAACTTTGAAAAGAAAAGCTCTCGCTTATTTCAAATAAGTTTTTCTAATGTCAATGATTGACTATTTTTAGTGCATCGAGTGTGGCAGTGGCTTTCTGGGTGGTGGAGCTGCTGAAGTATGCGACACGTGTTCAGGTGTAGGTGGAGCAATGCAAATGGGGGTTGGACTTGTATGTCCGCTGTGCTCAGGTCTTGTGCTCAATCATAATGCGGCTCGTGTTTGTACGTCCTGCAAAAAGTAAGTCAAGAAATGTCGAAAATAGTTTTTTCTTTCTTTTGCTTCGATTCTAGACTTTTTTTTCTTTTCTGAGAAGAAGTAGCCGATCGTAGCTTTTTGTTCTGGTCGCCTCTTTGGTGTGTCTGGTTTTGTTTTAAAGCTCATTGTCTGAAGGGGTTACATTGTCGGGTACAGTAGGCACACCATAGTCAGACTATATCGCAAGGGCGATGATCTCAAAGAAGAGCTGCCATTTCATGTAGGACGCACCGAGTGTATGCAAACCTTCAGTTATAGTAATGGCCGCAGAAGTGGTCGTCATCCCTTTCAAATGAAATTTATGTTCATAAGCAGGCATCTCGTAGAAGTAAATTTACTCGATGTCATCGTAGTTGCGCTGGACAAGTAGCATGTTTAGTTCTATGTGGTCATCGAATGCATAGTGAAGCTACTTGTTCGGTTTCTGCTTCTTACATTTATTTTACTCCAATTTTTCATAACGTCATCCTTTTGAGGTTCGTTCATCGTGAATGCGATAGATCTGATGTTAACATGACCGAATTTGTTTGTGCGTCTTGCCGAAGGTCACCACTAGTTGGGGACATCATGTTGTCGGCCGCTATCGGACCAGCTTCTCCATTGGGTGCCGAATCTGGTAAGTTTTTTTTTTGTTTGTGCTGCGTTATGAAGTCAGCGCCACAAACTTTATTCTACTCTAATTTCGTTATCTTCGGGTTCATGACATCGCTTTTAGACTCCATCACGGTTCCTTCATCAACATCCGTATCTGATTTGACGCTCAATCCTTTTCGATCAAGCTCCCCAGTCACTACTGGGGCAGTTGTTCCGGACTTCAACGTGGACGTGTACAACATGTCAGAAGGAATCTCCTCTCCAGCTACCACGAGTGATTCTGCGCGCAATTCTCCATTTTACCCTGAGAATTCGCCATCTGACGTAGATGAGGATTTCGTTCCTGGAAGGTACATAACACATCATGTGGATTTTTGCTACTGCTACGATCTTTACTTCAATTTTTTTTTGTTTAGCTCCCGAGGAGGTTATACATCTCGAGGTCGTGGTGGCGCGAAGAAGAAACCAGGCCGTGGTAGTTCCTCCAAAACGAGAGGAGCAAAACCACCAAGTGGTGATCCGTCGATTTTTCCTCCTTCCACCCGAGGGAAACGCGGAAAACGAGGATTGAAAGTCAACGGAATCGGAAAGGCCCCTGGTACAGGTCGCGGCCGAGGACGAGGGCGGTAAGGAGTTACTGCGGAGTTATTTTGTGTCGATTCGCTTTGAAGTAATCTTGAAACTACTACTCTCAACTGTGAATGCATTAACGCATGGTTGTTCTTTAATTTTTGTTCTGAATCAAACTTTTACAGCGGAGCAAACTCGCAATTACAACAAAGCGCCGTTCTTCAACAAATTATAATGCAGCAACAACAACAGCAGCAGTTGCAGTTGCATCAACAACAGCCACAAATACGAGAGGTATTCAACGATTTACCTCAATAACTTTTTGGTATATGACTACATGGAATAAATCAAACAGGTGGATGAGACCATGTTGGGAGAAGATGATGATCGAAATGCTCGAGCCGATGATGTGGAGTACGTCAGAACAGCCATCATATGTGACGCGCAAGACCAGTACATGCAGCAGGTAATTGGATTTAGCTTGTTTTTTAAATGCGTTTTCGATTTTGATAGCACAAATTGCTTTTTTCTTCGAATATTATTTTGATGTGTATTTTTTTCCTGCTTTAATCTCTTCATGGATCTGATTTCGTAAGTGTTCAGTCAAGCATATGCCTCGTGTGCGGCGCAGTTGGAAAGCCCCATACTCAAGAAAGTTCTATGGTTGCATGCTGTAATTGCGCTCAAACCTTTCACACCTACTGTGTCGGCTTACATGATAAGGCAAGTATTCAGGCAAGGCCAATTCGGTTCAATTAGACTTGCCATTTTGTCGAATTATCAATTTTCAGTTGAATCAAGCCGTTGTCAATCGAGGTTGGCGATGTCTTGACTGCACGATATGCGAAGGCTGTGGAGAAGGCAAAGATGAGTCGAAATTGCTTCTCTGTGAAGAATGCGACGTTTCTTTTCACATTTACTGTCTATCTCCGCCCCTTGACCGCATTCCTAATGGTCCTTGGAGATGCCAGTGGTATGTTTAAACTAAATACTATAATCTCTTGTTTGCAGAGCACTTTCATTCTCAAATCAATTTAGGTGTGCACGATGTCGTCGATGCAACGTAAGAGTCACCTCCGGCACCGATTTATCTCGAGAAGGGCTGTGCACTACTTGCAGTTCATTACGAAAATGTCCTAAATGTTCTAAACTCTATAACATTGGTGAGAAGATCATCAAGTGCAGTGCGTGTGCTCGGTAAGTCAGCAGTGCTTATTAGAGGGCCTTTCATAGTACTACGGTTGTATTATGCATGCATTGTTAGGTGGTATCATGGAACATGTGAGGATCTTTACAACGATGAGATGTTGGAGTCCGCATCAGCTAATAAAATGCGTTGCTCGGCGTGTCGACCAAATAGCAGGACGACATCTGCCCTGATGGGATTAAGTTAGTTTTTTTTTTNTTTTTTTTCTTTGTCTAGTTTTATCCGAGATATCATGTCCTAGTGTTTTATTGTGGAGCGTGCAGTAACATACACAACACCATTTTAAGGCGACCATTCAAGCCTCCTCATTTGTGATAATGTTGCCTTAAACAAATCTGCTGAGGAGGTACTGCAATCGCGTTTCATGCCAAGCCTCTTTCGTCCTAATCCGGTCGATTCCTTTGGCTACCGATCGGAAAGTTTCGACCACTGTACGTTAATTATACGAAATATTTTTTTTTTGGAAATTTATCGCTTTCGTGACTCTTCATAGTTCATCGATAAAGCCATTCCGTCTCGAGTTGCAGATAATTTTCCAGATGGCACGGAAGATGATTTCCTTCAAGAAGAAATAGAAATGTTGTCGACGAGCACACGTGGCCGTGGCATGGGCAGAGGTGGCGGACCAGGTCGAAGAGTCCCGAAACTAGGTACTATTTTTAAATAACACTGTTTGTTCCTCATCTCCATCGAACTCTTGTTCAGGAGTCGGCGGATTCTTCGTAAAAATTCCTCGTCATCGATTATTGACCATGGAAGATGATTTACCCGATGAAGACGGTAATAAGAAACAAAAAAGGCCACGGAAACCGCGCCGAAGTCAGCTGGAAGACGCCTATCCACCTGCCATTCAAGTTCGTTTCATAAATAATACAACTTCACTGCGAGCCATAATCTTCTTCCTTCCAGGAAGGCTTTTTCGGAATGCGCCCTGTAGAAGGAAAAGCGTTGATCGACGCTGTAGTAGAAGAACCATCTCTAGCGGAATATGGTAAAGGGAGAACTACCACCGCTATTGAAGCCGTTGGACGGGGGCACGAACTCTCTCATGAAGCTACTGAGCAGTTGAAAAATGATTTGACGGAGGTGCGTATATACTTTTACTTTTTTTCCAAGGAAACACTATTAATTCCACTTAGTTTAGGTCGACATTCTCGAGAATCTCGATATTGGAGAAGTCGATCTTGACAATATGGACATGGATTTCACTAACTGGATGGAAGACGATGAGGATGACGATTTCGATGACAGCCTTAATGGTAAAAAAAANAAAAAAAATTGTGACTGATTCTTTTCACGTTATTGCGCTAAATAATCCATTTTTAAGATGCTTTCGACATTGTCAAGGCTGATGGGTTCGAGCCCTCGACTAACAGTGATCTAGCTTCCACTCCTGTGTCGTCTGTTCCGACCGGCCCAACAAGTAATTTTTTGTCACCATTATTTCAAAAAGCAAATAAACTAATCGTTCACAAGCTCTCGCCTATATCACTGACATAGGGGGCGACCTACACTTCACATGTGTTTAACGTTATCTTTTAGCTTTCCCGAACGACGTGACGAACATTACTCCAGCTCCAGCTACGCCTGCATATTTAATGGCAAACAAAGCTAAATCGTTATCGCGAAGTAGCAGTCAAATGGATGGTGTAGAGAAAAATAATCCAACCACAGAAAGGTGAGTTGGGACTTACATACAGATCATGACATTTTATCCATTGCCCTACTAATCACCGTTTCACAGTTCATGGTCACTTTCAACTCACTTTGCTTAATAACTCTTGTTTTTTATATTATTTTGTTTTTTTGTTTATGTTGTTGTTTTATGCAATTTCATAGCAATTTTAAGATGGGAGGAAGACGAACCGCTCGGTAGTCAGGCAACAAAAGCGGCTGTTCTCTATGCTAACGAGAGGCACGCTTACCTCAAAGTGAGTAATGTTACCTGTGAAATTCTTATAGCGTGTAGGGTCTATCCCTTTCTCCTCCTATCATATTGGTAACATTATAGGAAAAATATCCGGATTGGAATGACCGCGTAAAACATATCCAGCGTTTGTGGCGAGTACTTGACACAGAAAATCGTCAAGACTTTGTGAGCCGAGCTAGAGAAAATCGTGCGAATCGCGGAAAACAACCAAGAGTGAAACGTGTAGTTGTAAGTTTCTAAATTTTTTTGTTGATGAAATAATCTTTCAAGAATTACTCCTAAATTTCGTTGATGTCTGGATTTTGTGAGCATGACAAGCTTAAATGTGTCGTTTAAGTATAAACATGCTGCTGCTGCTGCAGACGAACGGTTCAAAGTTCCTAATGTGCCTGGAGGTTCACAGATGCGCTCTGATTTTTACCATTCCGAAATGGGAGGACAAGTACCTCAAGAAGTACCTGTGCAACAAATCCGATCGACAGCTCATTTAACTCAGCCGGTGAGTTTCTGACAGTAAAACATTCTTCTCATCAATTTGGCGCCACTCATTTCTAGGGCTTTTCCCCAGAAGCCAATCGTTGCTTGACTTTATGTTTCCTAATTTTTTGATTCTTCGCTGGTTATTCTTTCAAAACTTTTGCGATGTTTCTTTCCCTGTTAATTTATTTTTGCACGATGTTGCATTTGACAAACCTGACCTGGAGCATCTTTAAATTCCCTTTCTTGCTTTTTTCTGTAAGATAATTAATATTTTTTTACATTGCAGGTACTTGAACAATACGAGTTAATGCGTACTAGAACTCTCGACTTGCAAAAGCATCAGCAGGTAATAACATATTTTTAATTTCACCATTTTAAAAGTACACATCGGATAACTTGTGTCTTTGCTTTCGTTAATGGTTGTTTCTTTACTATGACGCAATTCTTGCAGGTTATCGAGTCAGATCTGAACAGAATGAGAAAGCAAAAGAAGAATCTTGCCGCAAAAAGAAGGCAGATGATGAAAAGCGCTGGAACAGATGCAGATGGGAAACAAATACCGGTGCGCTTACTGTTCCACATCTTCAAAGTGCCAGACAATTTCAATAGTTTGCTGAGAGTTTTATAGTCTCCTTAGGCTGAGGCAATGCTCCATTGATAATTATTTGTGTTCATTTCACTATCTAATCCTTTGCATTTTCCAGGTGGATTTGAATGAGCAAGATCGAATGGCGTTGCAAATTTTACTGGAACAAATTCCTTCTCGGCAAAAGGTTTGTTTCACAGTTTTGAAAGATTCCGTTGAAAAGGGTATCTGAACGTACGTTCACGTTTGCAACACTGCTATGCTAGGCTTATTTTTCGCTCTATTATTGATCGCTTCAGGATCTGGAATCTTGTAAACGTGACTTGAAGACACATCTGGCTACAGTATATGAATTCGAGCATAAATGGAACATTGTGCGTAATGTTGAACCCGGCGATGCGATGCGGATGGCCATGGCCCAGCGTGCTGCTGCTGGAGGTGCTCCTCAACCAGTAGCTGCAGGAGGTGCTCCATTGCCTGGAACACCGCTCTCCTCGCCGACACAGATGCCTGGTGCTTCGGCGCAGTTTCATCCACCAATTGCTGGTTCATCACCTCAGTTCCAACAAATGCGAGTTCCGCAGCAAGTCCCTTATGGTGCTGTATGTGGTCCTCCGCCTCAGGAAATGATGCAGCGTCCTCCTATGCAAGTACGTAGTTATAAGGCACAATCTTCTATTCCACCTACTTTATAGTGGGTTACCGTTAATTTCTAGGTTCCTCGACCACACATGTGGACTCGCGTACCAGCACCTGTACTTGGCGGCATCCTGTATGAGCGATTGCAAACGCCGTTCGAGAAAGAGGTATTTCTTGACATTATTTCTGCTTGTATTGTTCCTAATTCCCAGCTTGAACTCATCTGCATTGTAGGTTTACGAATGCCTGGACGATGTTGTCAGTCGAGTGTCAATGCACTTTGACGGGCGAGATCCTGCTCGAGAAGGGTCTGGTATGTTGAAGAGGTTACTCGAACCTGCGATGGGACAGCAAATGCCTCCCATGGGCCCAGGTCCTCAGGGTCCGCCAAGTCATTTGATGGACCAGCTAGAACCACCACGGCCTAAGAAAAAACGAGCGCAGCAAAAGAAGGTACACTATATAGAGAAGTGTGGAAATGTAAGTAGGCATTTTGTTAATAATGTAGCGCTTCAGTTCGAGTCCGTGGGAATGGGAAATGAGTACGACCTGATGGTAGAGCGTGTGAATACGCAACTGCGACTTTGCGAACAGTTGCCGAAGCGAGCTATGGAACCTGCACCCCGCAATCCTGGTGCAGCTTTTGCTACGATGGGTATCAGCGACCTGCCTGATAGGAGAGGTAAGTTAAAACAGTACTCCACTTTAGTTGCTTAAGTCATTTTTAGTTTTATTAGTTTTATAATTCTTGTGCAAGGTGTCCTATAATTGTAAACGCTCCCCCAGACAGTCGCCCGTAACGAGTTTCGTGGATGTTGATAGTGGAAATGCTATTCCACTGCTTTTCTTTTCTTTATTCTTCAAGTTCAGTCGGTGACTCGACTCAATGTCGGGTTTTCAGATAAAAGAGCTCTCATTGGGAAAGAATTTGGCCACCTGTCTTTATCATTTGTTGATGATTACTATACTGGCAAAGGACGTGATACGGAATGCCTAGAGATGACAAGTCTTTCAATGTCTGATCTCGCCCCGCAGGCTAATCTTCCAGCCTTGACGAAGTACGACACTTGTCATTAACTGATTTCTAGAACCTACGTTTCTAATTTCTCTTTCAGCATACCACCACCTCCGTTGTACGAAATGGTGGTCGATGCCGAAGATGCAGCATTTGGTTCCTTTGATCAGTGGGCAGTGTTCGCCAACTCTCTTGATCGTCAACCGTGTGCGAGTCATATGCGTGTCGCAAGCAAGATTCCTGAATTCACGATCCCGCTTGAACCTCGTAGAAAAGTCTTCAGTATGGTCAGTCTTTAATTTTTATTCGCAATACTGTCGATAGTAACTTCTGCAAGTTTTCCGACACTTTTATGAGTGCGTAAGATCGAATAGCGGAAGCTCAACAGTTTAATTTGTGGGGTGCTTACGGGTTTCAGCTGATGGCAAAAAATATTTGTATTTTCACTTCAGAAACCAGATACCGTGGAAGAGGTAGAAGTCTCGTTGGTGGTGAAAGAGGAAACGTCAGTGCCACCAGGAACAGGCGTTGCTGCACTGTTCGAACAACTAAGATCAATTCTTGGCGTTGAACAACCGATTGAATACCAGCTGGACACACCACCACTGTCTCCTGAACCTTCTACAAAATGTGAGTTGTAGAAACGTTTGATGGAAAAGCAAATGCAAAACACAAAAAGTTGTGAATTGCCATGGATGAGTTGAGGAAATTGCCTTCTGTTTAATACATTTCCAACGTTGATGCGCTTCATCAAACAGTCAGTGTTAGAGACAGCACACCATACTTTTGGTGGTGCACCACTCAACACCTTTTGAATTGGGGAAGCTGTGTAATTAACCTCACAGAAAGAAAATTTGTCGATTCATTCTTTTAAGCTGGAACGATCAAATCTGTTTCCACTACAAAAAAAAAATCATTCTAGCCGAATCTGTCGATAATATCAAACGGGAGCTTCCGGATGTGACTCAAACTCCGATTTCCGGTGGAGGTAGATGCCGTGCGTGTGATCGAAGTATGGAAGCAGTGCTCATACAACAAACAATGAGTCAGTTGGGATTGACGCCGAGTGATGATGAGGTTTGAGCTTCGTTATGTTTGGTGTTTATTGGCGGTCGTACCAAAAAATTGTTTTTAGAAGGATGATACCGTTTGCTTCTGCTCGATGAAATGCTACTACCAGTTCGTCGCTGCAAGCAAGGTCGGTTTGCTTGGTTAAAAAAACTTTCGGTTGGCTGATTGGTACTCTGCTCCTCCGCAGTGGAGTACTATTTGGTAGCAGTATGTTACCAACTTTGAAGGAAACATTTTAAGGTAGCGTTGTCACCCGATCAGCTCACCGCGGCCGAATCACATGTCGACGAGGAAACGCTCGCAAAACTACGACAAATAAGCGCTGAGAGTTTTGCCAAGTGCATCAACCAGGGAAAGGTACTAGTTGTTTTTTGCATAATTAAGTTATGCTTGTCAGGAATTTCTAGTTGCATTTCGTTGGTAATTTTAGGTTATGTGGTATTTGCTCGATTTGAGAATTGACCTTGAAAACCCCCTACATGAAAACTATGCAGTTGCGGAATTTTTTTTNCATCCTCGATTTTCTGTGACGCTGCTTTAGCTTCAGCACTGCTCCGCTTTCCGCTCCAGTGAATGAATGTGTTGAACAGAGACTAACCGCCTTTCCTTCATGCTTGACTCTGTTTTGTGTCACAACTGATTCTCTAGTTATGCCCGAATGCCGTTGTTTCAGATGCGAATGGACCTACCTGCTGCCCCTGCTGTGCCTCCAGATGCGTTTTTGACATCTCCTCGTGATACGCGATATGTAATGGACGAGGGTCGTCGAGACAATGTGCAGGTTTGACGCTATCTTTCATTTAAATATATCACTCGTAGTTTGTATGCAACGCTCTCGCTCAAAAAACTGAGTCTTGCACCAAACAAGTGAGGCACATAGAGAAATTGGCTGCGCCCTTCCATGAATGAACAGGATTGCGCAGTGGTGCCCCCGCCAAAAATGTAGTATTTGTTTTCCGAGACATCTTGGAAGTTTCGATGTAAACTCACTATATTCATTTGACTAACTATTAAATTACACAAAATCTTGTAACCTACTTGCTCACAGTGTACATAGCACGCCTCAAAGGGAAGAGGGGAGGAGGGAGGGGTTGCCACGGAGTTTTAAAATTTGTTTCGATGATGACTTATAGATCAGAATCAAGGGAAGGAGTAGATAGTGTAGGACAGATGGAAGGGATACAGGATGGCGAGCCAGCAGATGGTTCCTAATTAGTTTCTGTGGCGCCGAGGTGTAGGAAAACTTGGTAAAGTATAGAGGGAGTTACTACAATGAAAGGGGTTCATGTTGGATGTAGGAGGCTAATTGCGGTTGTTTATCACTTCGTCAGAAGCTGGTCACCCCCTCGCGGCAATCGGCCTCTGGCGGTCACGGCAGTGGATTGAATCTTTGAAACTAGACTCCATGCCAACGCTTACAGGGTCTGCGCTGGGTGACTAAACAAAAGCAGTTAGCGCCCTATTTCTTTTCGTACGAGCACAAACTGTTATAATTGTTTGTAAAACAGTATAGTTTTGTGGTGAAGTGTAAGTTATTTTGAACAGGATTTATTACTTTTAGAAGAACTTATGCACTTGCCACTTTTATAGGGGTCTATTCAGTGATAAGCGACAGCATTAGCTGCCACAATTAACCAGTCATTAATATAACAGCTTTTTACGCTCAGATTATTCGAGTTGCTGACTTGGCAACAATCCAAGATGCTGCTCAACGCAAAGACACAACTCGATCCCCAGGAGATGACTGGAAAGCGTATAATCGTGAATTACTGCACTCTTTCTTCAAGATTCAGCAAACTAAGCAGGTAAGAAGACTATGTAGATTGGGTCTGTTGGAATTTTGTTTGGTTGAATGTCCGCTTTGCCGCGCAAAATAAAAAGGAACACGTTGGAAGTTTCACCGGTCCAATCTCAAATTCAGGAGCTGGCTTTATCACCAAAGATGGGCGTTGGTTTGGGAACATCGTTCGAACTCGATAGACGAGTATGTGTGCTCTGTGGCGGTATTGGCGATGGTGATCCAGCACTTTGCGGACGATTACTCAATCTGAGTGCGAATCTATGGGTGCATGTGAATTGTGCCATGTGGAGCACTGAGGTAGCTGTTTAATCTTACTGTTTCCGTTATTTTCAATTTGGTTACTTTTGCTTCGATACCTGGCCCCTCTAAATGTATGCACGTTTGTGGGCACCCTGTTTTCCTGCAGTCTGAAGAGCATTATAGATTCTTTTTTTTTGTTGGGAAATAGCATGGTATTTTGCTGATGTAGTTTCGAGGTCAATTTAAATTTTGTGTGTTTTCAGGTGTTCGAAACGACGTCTGGAGCTTTGCTTCATGTAGATCGTGCAGTTATTCGCGCTGCTGGTGTAATTTGTCACTTATGTGGGCGGGTTGGTGCCAGCGTACAGTGCCATAAAGTGGACTGCAACGTGAACTTCCATCTTCCATGTGCTGCAAAAATCCAAACGGCGAAGTTTGTCAAGGACAAGGTTTGTCTGTAAGATTATGAACATACTGTAATAGTAGTGTAGAATTTGAGTCCCTCCTTATACTGGCTGTACTCCTGGCCTAATTCTGTAGCTATATCTGCTTTTATGCATTTTTATTCCGCATCGTAAGGCCGAAACTAACATGAATTCTATTGCGGTCAGGGTCCAGTGTAGGTAAAGGGGAATTCATCGTGCAGAAAAAAGTTATCAAAAGCAGCAGGTCTCACTTCGTAACAGAAGCTATGTGCATTACGACTTGAGAGCAATTGGCTGAACTTTTTTTTGAACCTACTCTACTTCCTTTTTTGGAATTGATTTATATGCATATATACACTGGGCCCTGATTGTAACAGTGTTGTGCTACTTCCGCTTCCTCTAATCTGCTCACAGTCCTTTCAGACCTTCTTCTGTACGAAACATCCGGAAATCAGCCCCGAAGTTATGGTAACTTCATTGGAAGCTCTTCGACGGATTTATATTGAAAGGGATGAGAACGCCTTCTTGTCACGGCTCTTCGATTATTCTGACTCATGCTCGCGGCTTTGTCTGCGAATTGGTGCCTTATGTTTCTTCCAAGTTGGACAGCTTCTTCCTGATCAATTGAAGACGTTCCACAATGCGACGCATATATTTCCAGTGCGTTTGTCAACGTAATCATTGAGTTTTTTTTNTTTTTTTTGTTGCTCATAAATCCCTTTGCAGAATGGGTACCACGTATCGCGGTGGTTTTGGTCGCCCACTGATCCGCGAAAGCGAGAAATTTACGATTGCCACATCAAAGATGTTGATCATCGTCCAAAATTCGTCGTCTCTCATGCAGATCATACATACGAGGGTGATTCTGCTACTGGTATGTCCAAATGACTTCTGTTTTTTTTTTTGGTTTTTCATTTCCATTCGTGTAAATTGCTGTTTCTCAAACCCATTTTTCCATGTGTTCTAAATTTCCACTAGCAAAGAGAACGATTTTAAGAGGCCTGGTCACAAGTGGTTAATTCCGTTGAGCGGATACGGTCGCAGTCAGATGCTCTCCGATTTTTGGCGAAGGGAATTCAAGGAGAAACCTTATTCGGATTGAACGAATCGGTGATCAGCAAAATTACAGAATCGGTACGTTGCGCGCATGGAGTTGATGCGAGCCCTTGTTCCTTCTGATTGTTTTTATTTTTCTTTGCCTTGTTTCTTCAGCTCTTTTTTATGAAACTAAAAATAATGATGATTAAAATGATTGATTAATGACTGAGATGATGATTTTGAATTAGTAACCGATTTGGCTTCGAAGAACCGCATAAGGGATGGGAACAGCTGAGCGCCCTGATTCAAAAGCCCCGCATACATTTTGCGGTACATCCATGGTTTTTCTCTTTTTTAGTGCCATCGCTTAACCGTTGTCCTCCTTTGTATTTTTATCAGAAAGATTTAAATGTCAACCGTTTTATTTGAGGGATTCAGCATCCATCGAATGTTACAATGAGTGCTCCTCTAAGTAGGTACCCATGTACATATTTAGCTTTCACTCCAAATCTCGTCGTTTTAAAACCCATTATCGGTAATTTTTCGCATTCGATCATAAATATGTTTTAATTATCACAACCTCGCTCTTTTCTTCTACTCTGGCGAGCTTTTGGAACTTTCTTATGATTTTTATGGTTCGATTATTTGCTTCAGTTCTTAGCAAAGGGAAAAAAAGCAAAAATAGGTTTGGTTTGTGATTGGCTTCTTATTTTTAGTTGCCTGGTGTCGACGGATTGTTCACGTACACTTTTCGCCATCCGAACAGCCCACTCTTGGATTTGCCGCTTGCGGTGAATCCTTCCGGATGTGCTCGCTGCGAACCACGATTCCGCACCCTAATTAAGCACAAACAACGTGCGCTTGCCAGTGCACCGTCAACAAGGTGAATATTTGATAAAGCTTTATTCGGGCATGTTTTGTTTTATGTTTTCTGAACTATTTACGATTTGTCGCGATTTCTAGTCGCTCTACGCAAGACGGCGGCTCAAGCAGTAGTGGACGAACGCGAGGACGCATAGCAGCTTCTTTCACTGATGAGCTTGCTGCTGCTCAAATGCGAGCCATGTTGCAAGCTTCTGGTATCGGATCCGAGTGGGCCTTGGTGAGTCCTGTTTCATCAGTTTCAATATTCTTTTTCCTGATCGTCCAAGAGCTTATCAATGGCCAAGGCATTTCGAGTTTCACTGTATGCTTCCTTTCTTGAAAAATTTCGCCATTTGCCATTAGTTTGTAGATATGCAGGAAAATGACGTGCATTTTATTGAAATGTTAAAAAGCTATAAGACTTATATCGGTCATCTTTTACATGCTTATTTGAAGATGATTTCTATTCCAGGCGTTGGGAGGTCGTGAACCATTCTCGAGCAATTCCCAAAGTTATACTCTCTACCAGAAAATGCGAAAAGATTGGCGTCAAACTGTGTACTTGGCTCGGTCGAAAATTCAAGGACTCGGACTTTATGCGAAGCGCGATATTCATATGGGTGATATGATCATAGAGTATAAGGTTTGTGAACGGATTTAGTTTTTTGTTGTTCCAAACTAATTATAAAACTGCCTTCAACTTTGTTTCTGGGTTTTCATAGTGGTTCTTTCTCAGGGAGAGGTGATAAGGAGTGAGGTAGGAGAAATGCGAGAAAAACGATACGTGGCACAAAATCGAGGTGTCTATATGTTTCGTATTGACGAGGATCTGCTTGTCGATGCAACGATGGCCGGTGGTCCAGCTCGGTAGGGACCTGCTCGGAATTGTTTTCTGTTTCGTTTGACAATATTTGAAATACTCTAGTCTCACACTTTTTGCAGGTATATCAATCATTCTTGTGATCCCAATTGTTCTACTCGAATACTTGCTGCTGGACCGTATCCAGAGGACAAAAAGATTATCATTACGGCTAATCGTCCGATCAAGGCGCTGGAAGAGGTAAGATCTCAGACTACTGTTGTTATCCTTTCAGTATTTCAGTGCGCTGCTCAATCCGCTCAGCTATTATTTGTTTACTTCTGATTTTCTAAGGTTTTTTT